TAAAAAGGGCGCAAACTTAACAAGAGAAAAAAGAAAGCAGAACTGACAAGTTTACCTGAGGCTAGACATACATATTCAATTTCCTTACTAACTTTTACAGATCTCCGGTTCATGATCCACCATTAGCTTAAGTGGACTCATTGTTATGCCTTAATGTTTCTTTTCCTGACACCTGTATTTCAACTTTCCTTATTTCTGCTTAAAGGTACATACAGCATCTCTTTAATTGATTCTATTTTTACAATATCATTCATTCTACTTTCACACATCCTTCCCTGGCCTGATACAGCGTGTTCTTGGGTCAGGGAAAAGCTTCCCTTATTCCTTGTTGCCTGTGGGTTAGAGTTAGACTGTGGGAGACACGAGGATTTGGCAGCAGGACCAGAATCTTAGAAACTTTCTGAGTACAAGGGGAAGTAGGTTCAGCTTTTTGTAGCCATGTGAGGCCTGGCAGTGACAATTGGCTGGTAGCTAATGTAGGATGGGAATGTCACACAAGACTTTGGGAAGTCCTGGGCCAAATCTTATTCAGTGGGAGCTGCGTTCTGTGACCCTAGTGCCCCCCTGGTCCCGGCCCACACCAACAGGCCTCTGCTTCTCCCTCAGGAGCCCCCTCTCCCTGAGCTACCCCATTAAAACGTATCATGTTCCTGTCTATGACCCTTAGTCACGTGACTGTCCCCAATGCCCCGAGTGCCAGCGCTGAGCTGAGTGATGTCATCACGGGCTGAGGGGCGGGTCTGTTATCTCCATGGTGACTCTATGACATTGTGGAACTTCATTGTGGGTCGGGATGTCTCAGCTCCACCCATTGACACCAGCGGAGAGGCGGGGCTGTGATTTCCACATGTCAGTTGGGTGAAAACAATCCATGAGCCGCTTTGGAAAGTCCCGGTGGTGCCACATTCCCAGGCTCAGCGGAGTGGGGTTTATTCAGGTACTGGGTGATCTCTGCCCACAGCCCCGCCCAGACTCTGAATGGCCCATTTGCATATCCCAGCCTCCATCTCTCTGTGCCTCAGTCTCCCCTCTCTGAACCAGGGGCTGTGATAGTTCCCGGGCTCCCGGCGGCATTGTGGGGATAAAGGCAATAACCGCTTGTGAAGGGCGGAGATGCCACGGTGAGGGGCCCCACGTCGGTTATAATGAACTAATCACCTTCCGCTGCATTAATGCGATAAACGTCCCAGTTTGCTGAAAGGACCAGAGCCTCCCTGGTGTAAATCAGGAGTAACTCGAGTCTAGCGGAAGCAGTTGTGGTGACTTACACTAGCGGAGGATTTGGCCCCAGGAACAATTCGCTCCATCCGTTGGGTCTGATGCAAACCCCAATGCGCTTGTCCCCTTTACACTGACAGACGCTGTCCTGTGAGTCTGACACAGAGACGGGCCCAGGAGAACCAACGTGTCAGGTCTGCGAGGGGAGAGTGATTCAGAACAGGACTCACTCTGGATTGAGGTTTGCTGATGGAGCGAGGGAAGCGGGTCTGTGGGCAGGAAGGGGAGACACGTTGCCCGGGAATGGAAGGGTTAAAACTGACGGGAGGTTTGTGTTACATTCACCCGGTTGCTGGGTCTCCTGTCTGAACCTGGAGCGGTGTGTGTGTCACTGCTGCCCTCATGCGGCTGCCAGGAGAAGGGCGATTCCACAGCCTGCGTTTTTGTATGATCGCAAACCGGTGTCATTTCACTGTGTCTCTCACACAGTGATACCGGGTGGTGTCCTCGGGCTTCAGGCCGGTCATTTGCAGATACAGCTCACTCTTGGAATTATCCCTGGCGATGGGGAACTGGGTGTGTTAAGGCTCCTTCCCCACTCTGAACTTTAGGGTACAGATATGGGGACCTGCATGAAAACTTCTAAGCTTAACTACCAGTTTAGATTCCCTGGTGAACACCGATCCAAACCCCTTGGATCTTAAAACAAGGAAAAATCAATCAGGTTCTTAAAAAGAAGGCTTTTAATTAAAGAAAGAAAGGTAAAAATCAACTCTGTAAAATCAGGATGGAAAATAACTTTACAGGGTAATCAGATTCAAAGAGCCCAGAAGAACCCCCTCTAGCCTTAAGTTCAAAGCTACAGCAAACAGAGATAAACACTCTAGCAAAAGGTACATTTACAAGTTGAGAAAACAAAGGTAAAACTAACACGCCTTGCCTGGCTGTTACTTACAAGTTTGAAATATGAGAGGCTTGTTCAGAAAGATTTGGAGAGCCTGGATTGATGTCTGGTCCCTCTCAGTCCCAAGAGCGAACAACCCCCAAAACAAAGAGCACAAACAAAAGCCTTCCCCCCACCAAGATTTGAAAGTATCGTGGCGCGT